AGGCCTGCGTACCGCAAAAAAAAAAAAAAAAAATGTGCACAGAAACTAAGTTACTGTAGAGGAAGTTGGGCCCTGCCTCGCTGGCAAGAAAGAGGAGCAGGTTCTGAGGAAAAGATGGAAGCGGACTACTGGGTCACCACTCAGGAGATGCCAGGCTGCTCCCTGGTCTGGCCTGCGTCACCCACAGCCTTGGACCTGGGCAGAGAAGGAAGCAAGGAGACACTCCCAACATGGCAGCCCTGGGCAGCTGGAGAGTGTGGGTCACTGGTCATGTGATACCCCAAAGCCAATGACCAGACCTCTCTCTCTGTACAGTTTAAATGCTTTATAGCTCAAGCAATGTAGAAGGAAAGAAACAAGAGTCAAAGAACTGGGTATTCTAATCTAAGAAAGAGGAGAAGAAATAAATAAATCTCTGTAACTATTAAAATAGTTATTCAACTTAGTGTCAACTCAGAACTTCTTATTAAGCCCCTACCACCTGCCAGGCTCTGTGTAAGACCCGAGAATCCATGGCAAACATGCTTAGTTCTGTCTCTGTTCTACTGAAATGTAGTCTAGGGAGATGATCTAGATGAGGTGAAAGGAAGTGAGAGTTGTGACACATTAGGGTCAGTTCCTACAGGAATTTATAGAATCTTATCTCTAAACTTAACAAAAGTGGCCAGCGCCGTATCTGAATCTCCCATCCAAGTTTTCACTTTTGTCTGCGTCTGCTGGAACTGTTGCCAGTGGCACCGAGCCTGACCTCTGATCCAATCCTTTTCCTCTTAATCCAAGCTACAGAAAGATAGGAATGTTTTTAAAAGCACTAGGCTTTGAAAAGCAAGAACATGAAGAACCTTCTCCCATTTCTCCTCCAAAAACGGAAGAGCATGAAGACCCACATGTCTGTAGAGTTCAGATTCCATGAGGCGCAACTTCAGAGGGGCTTGGCAGGTACAACCTACCCAGCACACAGCACAGGTTCCTTTTTTGAGGAGGGTTAGGGGAGCATCTTTCTCCTCTCTAGTTGTGATGTTAAAGATATTCCAGCTCCTAGACACATTCCAACTGGCTTGGCCTCCACCTCCACCCCTTTCTCTCTGGCCCTAGGTGAGCAGCACTTGTGCACCATGGCTACCCCAGAGTAAGTTTCCAGCCAGGTTTCCAGAAGAGAAAAACATGTCCTAATATGGCCCAAAGATTTAAGTTCTACTCGAAGTAATCTGGCAGTGGACAACCCTACTCCTTTCTTGGAAGATGGAGTCCTCTGGCCACTTTATGTCCTATCTTCTTTGCTTCTTTTTTTTTTTGGCTGTGTTGGGTCTTCACTGCTATGTGCGGCCCTCTCTAGTTGTGGTGAGCAGGGGCCACCCTTCACTGCGGTGAGCAGGCTTCTCATTGCGGTGGCTTCTCTTGTTGCGGAGCATGGGCTCTAGGCACGTGGGCTTCAGTAGTTGTGGCACATAGGCTCTAGAGCACAAGCTCAGTAGTTGTGGCACATGAGCCCAGCTGCTCCGCGGCATGTGGGATCCTCCCAGACCAGGGCTCGAAACCGTGTCCCCTGCATTGGCAGGTGGATTTTTTTTTTTTAACATTTTTTATTGGAGTATAATTGCTTTACAATGGTGTGTTAGTTTCTGTTTTATAACAAAGTGAATCAGCTATACATATACATATATCCCCATATCTCCTCCCTCTTACCCTCCCTATCCCACCCCTCTAGGTGGTCACAAAGCACCGAGCTGATCTCCCTGTGCTATGCAGCTGCTTCCCACTAGCTATCTATTTTACATTTGATATATATGTCCATGCCACACTCTCACTTCGTCCCAGCTTACCCTTCCCCCTCCCCATATCCTCAAGTCCATTCTCTTTGTCTGCGTCTTTATTCCTGTCCTGCCCCTGGGTTCTTCAGAACCATTTTTTTTTTTAGATTCCATATATATGTGTTAGCATACGGTATTTGTTTTTCTCTTTCTGACTTACTTCACTCTGTATGACAGACTCTAGGTCCATCCACCTCACTACAAATAACTCAATTTCATTTCTTTTTACGGCTGAGTAATATTCCATTGTATATATGTGCCACATCTTCTTTATCCATTCCTCTGTGGATGGACACTTAGGTTGCTTCCATGTCCTGGCTATTGTAAATAGAGCTGCAGTGAACATTGGGGTACATGACTCTTTTTGATGGCAGGCAGATTCTTAACCACTGCACCACCAGGGAAGCCCCTCTTCTTTGCTTCTTTTTCTGACATGGTCCCAGCCATATTTTAGTTGACTTGAGATCACTAGCACCTAATTGTCTGAGAGCTAAATGACCTTGAGCGAGGACATTGTTTTCTTGGGAACCTAGTTAACTGCATTTATCATGGCTGGCAAATGCTTCTCCCTCTTCCTTGTTCCAGCTCATCAACTTTTTTCTGGCTGAGGGTAGCCTCCAAGTGAATTATAAAATTGACAGGCATTGAGCACTAGAAGTAGGTCACTTGAAACATCAGCTGTGGGGCTTCCCTGGTGGCACAGTGGTTGAGAGTCCGCCTGTCGATGCAGGGGACACAGGTTTGTGCCCCGGTCCGGGAAGATCCCACATGCCACGGAGTGGCTGGGCCCGTGAGCCATGGCCGCTGAGCCTGCGCGTCCGGAGCCTGTGCTCCGCAATGGGAGAGGCCACAGCAGTGAGAGGCCCGCGTACCGCAAAAAAAAAAAAAAAAAAAACCATCAGCTGTGATTGTTTTCCCAGGGTGTTTCTGTTGGGTATTCCCTTTTTGTCACTGTCCCTCAGTTTTTTAGACTCTTTATACTACAGATTCACAGTGGTAAAAGAGCAGTAGTAAATACAACCATATATCCCAGTTAGAGGAAGGTGACTCTCCCAGTAGACCCCATTGGGGTCCCTGTCTTCCTTACTTCATAAGCGTCTGTGAAGCCACTGTGTTCAGCACTGGAGTTACAGGTATGAAGAACTCCGGGACCCTGCCCTTCAGGAGCTTCAAGCTAATGTAGGAGATGACAAGAAAAACAATATGAAACATTGTCATTCATACCACAGGAGTGTTGGGGATTTCTGCCTTTGGGATCTGGGTGAGAGGAGGATGCTTCAAAGAGATGGTTTTAAGAACTGAGTCTTAAAGTAGATGCAAGGCAGGCAGCAGAGGGGGATTGAGAGAGGGGGGAATGGAGGAAAAAATGACCAGTTTATGCAAAGACCCTACCATGGGAAGTGAATGGCAGAGAATGAGGTGGAAGGCAATTGATATGGGGTGACTGAGCCAGACTCTGAGGTTTGGACTTCATCCTGGGGAACGATTAAAAGACTTCAAGCAAAGGAATAACCTGATAAGATTCATTCAGATTTTAGAAAAGTTACTCGAGGCATGGATGGTGGATTGAAAGAGCTGGGGAATTGGACACTAAGGTTCCATTGAACTTGAATCAGATTTCAACATATTTGAACTGAATCAGTGTTGTGTCAATCCAAATTTAAACCACTTCTTTCACCCCAAAATGAAACTTCATGCTGTTTGCAGGCACCCCTTACCCACACTCCAACCCCCCAGGAAAATTAACCTACTCTTTGTCACTATAAATTTACCTTTTCTGGACTTTTCTTTTAATGAAATTCTACAATATGTGATCTTCTGTGTCTGGCTTCTTCCACTTAACATAATGGTTTTGGAGGTCATCTATGCTGCAGTATGCATCACTACTCCATTCCTTTGCATTGTTCAAGAGTATTCTGTTGTATGGATACACCAGCTTTTGTTTATCTGTTCACCAGTTGCTGGACATTTGGGCTGTTACCTTTTGGGGGCTGGTGTGAATGGTGCTGCTAATGAACATTTACCTACAAGTCTTTGTGTGGATGTATGATTTCATTTCTCTTAGGTAGATGGCTGGGAGTGAAATTGCTGGGTCATATATTTATGTTTAACATTTCTAGAAATTACCTAACTGCTTTGCAGAGTGGCTGCAGCATCATTTTACCTAACTGTAAATTTCCTGAGCACCAGATAAATATCACTGTGCTCTGGGGGGGGGAAAAAAAAAATGGAAGTGTCAGACTTCTGAACAAAATCTTATTTGATGTTGTGGTGGGGGGTGTATGCTCCCTTTTTTCAGGGTTAAGAACTTTGTGTTTTGCCGTGGCTGAGATTTCAGAGAGCGACTTTCAGGAGTGGCGAACGGTCTATCAGCGGGCGTCCACATCCGTGCAGAACAGGCTGCTCAAACTGGAAGAGAGCTACGAGTTAATCGAAAAGGTACGTGGAAGACTGTTCTGCCCGTCAGGAAAGTTTGGTTTCCAGAAAACTTGTCTTAATTCAAGGGGCCAATAAAATTAAAATCGAAATATCTTGACACACCGCTAAACTGTTGAATCTCCTCCGGTCTAAGCACTGACAGCTCTTAAAGTTTTTGCTGAAAAGTCTCTGGAATTGCTTTATATAGATCTGGGCTCTTTTCACAATTCTGGATCAAATTTAGTGTCATCTAGCAATACCCTTGCCAAAGTCTTCCATTGCGTCAGCATTGCTGAAGGTGTGCATGCCTCCTGCCCACACACGGACATGCACACAAGCTGCACACACATGCATGTGTGTATATAGTTAATGAAGGCGTATAATGTGTAATACAAAGTAATATAATAAATACACAGCTTGTGTGACTCCATAGCCAATCATATAGAATGTATAAGTGAACAACCCAGTGCTTATACCTGGCCTGTCATTGTTCACTTAGGTACATCCATCATTTCTGCCACAACTATAAATATCCTCATTTTACCGACAAAGAAACCAAGGCTATTCAGCCAAAAAAGTGATGGATACACTATGATTGATGCTGCATAAATAGCAAGAAGTCTTGCTTCCTAAATTAAAAATAGCAAACATTTTTATGTTGTACTTACCGTGTGCCACGTGCTGTTTGTAGCACTTGAATCTGTTAACCCAGCGGTCCCCAACCTTTTTGGCACCAGGGACCAGTTTCATGGAAGACAATTTTTCCACAGACCAGGGAGAGAGGATGGTTTTGGGATGATTCAAGCACATTATATTTATTGTACACTTTATTTCTATTATTATTACATTGTGATATATAATGAAATAATTATACGACTCACCATAATGCTGACAGGAGGCGGAGCTCAGGCGGTAATGCGATTGATGGGGAGCGGCTGTAAATACAGATGAAGCTTCGCTCACTCTCCCGCTGCTCACCTCTTGCTGTGGTCCAGGTTCCTAACAGGCCACGGACCCATAGCGGTCCATGGCTCGGGGGTTGGGGACCCCTGTATTAAATTATTTAATCTTCATAGCATCCCTTTGAGGTAGGTAGTGTTAATTATCCCAACTGTACAGATGAAGAAATCAGGGTACCAGAGAGGTTAAGTAATTTTACAGAGATTACTCGGCTCATAGAGGGTGAACCAGAATTCTCACTCTGGCTCCAGAGTTCATACTCTTAGCCGACTCGAGTATCTTCATTCTGACTTCCTAATTACATAATTCCTTCAACTATACTCATGTTTATAAGGCATAGACTCAAGCTTGATTCAAGTTGATCTTGCCTTCAGATGAGTGACGACTGACATGTTTTTTCTTCGCCTCTCTCAATGTACTTCCTGTCTTGGATGGTAGCCAGCATCATGGATGCTGTCTCCCTGGACCCTTCCCTCCTTCCTTTCCCCGCATGCTGCCCACTCTATGTAATACCGGCAGTAGCATGTTAACAGCTGGAGGTGGTTTTCTCTGGTATGCAGTTGCCACTTGTGACTCTAGATACTGTTCCCCTGTCTTCTCAGTGGATTGAGATCACTTTAGAAGCTAGTTTGTGTCTCATCTCTCCCTTATATTTGAATCTATTTGTATCCTCCTTATTTCTCAGAAGACTTGTGATAGCATGTATGGAACCCTCCAACTCGATAAATCCCACCACCACCACCAATTTTAGATGTGCACACACAGCAGGAGACTTGTTATTAATCAATTTATTGAATTTCTCTCTCCCCTTCTTTTCTAATATCCTTATATATGATTATGTCTTTGGAATATTAGTAATTTTTTATTTATGAGACCATGACTATAATCTCTTTCAATATCTCCAACCAAAGTCCCATATTAAAGTACTAATGGTATTGATTCTTAATCTTTGGCTTTTCTTACTCTTTTGAGAAGTTAAAAAAAAAAAACGTTTGGAAATTATTCTTTTTCTCCTGTCTCCTTTCCTATACAGCCTGAATATAATGTAGCCTTTTCCCCTGTGGCAATGGTAGAATTAATATATAATAACTGACCATAAAAACATTTTAAGTGGATTCTAACCATTAAATTTTGTTTCTACTTGAAGTGCACTGTAGCAGATTCTGGAGTTCAGTGTTTAATGTGCCTAACATTTTTACTGTGAATGTCCTAGAGTTTATAGATTCGATCTTATAGGTTTAACAGTTGTGTGTGTGTGTGTGTGTGTGTGTGTGCGCTTAATATCTGTCATTAAATTTTGACTTCACTCTTTTAACTAAAACAGATGTTCAACCTTTCTTCCAGCAGATGGCGATCGCGAGTCACATTGAAATTTAAGTTGCCTGGGGAACTCCATTACATGTATTTATATATTTTTAGTTTACAGATACAGAAGCCTCCCTTATGACTGTCTCTTACCTAAAATAAATGAAAAAGAGAATTTATAGCTAATTCCTCTTTACTTCATTATAAGCCATGCTCTCTTTTATTGAAAAATCAGAAAGGTGAAGAGATTGGTTCCCATGGTCAGCCAGCTTGTTCCATATAAGGACTGATTTTCTATATCCCCTGAAACCATCGTTTCTTTCAGTAATTAACTTAAGTAACTTTCATTAAGCGGTTAATAGATGCTAGGTATCAGGGATGCACAACCAAATAAGGAACACTCAGTGTGGCCCTCTGAGTGTCATGGTCTGAACCAGTTCCTCCAGGAAATCCAGAGGAGTGACCCACAAACTTGGGCCATAGCAAGCTTTCAGAGAGGTGGTAACTTTTGAAATGAGCCTCAAATGATTATTTTACCAGTTAAAGGAGAGCAGAGGCCTTCTTAGAAGAAAAAGAATAGGCACAATGACACAGAGGGGTCCCTGCAACTAAAAGCTGCTTTTCTGAAAAATGATTCTCCCGCCTGATCGTTTGGGGACTGTGGGGTGATAGCGGGTCTCCCTTGATCTGAGCTTCCATTCTTTGTTAAAATCAGCTGGGATTGGTATTCAGGAGGAGTTGTGGGGGACTGTTATCACACATCGTAGTGAGGCAGGTTTCAGTGTGTCAGCTCAGGTTCTGCTGGTGTGTCACTCTAACTTAAATTTAGCTGTCATAGTCCTAGGCTCATCCATTTTGGCTTCTTCCTTGGCTACTTTAAATGAGACTCATTTATTGTAATCTATTTTTCATATGGTTGGGATCTATTTTTTATATAGACCATAATATTGGACTTGTAAGATAATGACTTTTAAACTGTGAGAGTGGTTTTCAAATCTCTCTTTTTTTCTAAGAGCAGAACCCATTTTCCAAACTAAATATTGTCTGAATATATTTATATATTTTCAGTGTATATGTAATATACAGAGGCAGAGCTTCTCTGGTTAACAAGTGGAGAGGTGGGGAGAAGCCCCTAACTGTCTCTCCCTTCAGACCCTACCTTGCCCTCATCATGGTCCACGAGTGGCTTTTCAGGACTCTGGGGCTCCACGGAACACAGTTTGGAAACCAGATAATATTCCGTATGTGTGTGAAATTTTTAGGAAATGTGCTTCTCAAAATTTCTATAGATATTTTCCCTCACTTTTCAACAAAAGATCAGAACATCCTTGTGGTCATACACAAGATGTTTCTGGCCATATTTGAATTAATGATGCAAAATGCCATTGACACATTAATGGTAGCATTACATTAAAGGCATTTAAAATGTGGAAGATTTGTAGAGCTTTTCCTGAAATCAAGAATGTATTTTTAATAAGTTACAAAATAAGTGGAAATGTTATAATATGGTTAAGGTTGTACTTTTAAACCCTGCTGTCTGTCTTATCCCTCCAGTGTTTGTTCAAACAAGTAATTCAGTTTTCAAAATTTAGTTAAAAGCCTTATTCCCTTGGGGGCTATAACTCCTAGCATAATTCCAAAAACATGTATCCAAATAAGCCAAGAACATCCAAGAAGATAATGCCATGTGTCCCTTGGTGCAGTGCTTTGTTACTTTTCTTCCCAGCTCATCTGAGCACTAGAATGCCCCCCTTCACCTCCAGGGCACAGTAAGGGAGAGAGGATGTGAAAGGTTTGAAAAAGTTCTCTGGATAGGGTTTTCCCTAGTGACAGTCATTTTTAGAGGATTTAGGACTTTTACATCCATCTATAAAATATCAACATCTCTGCTACACAGTTGTACAGTTTGGTCTCCAACACTTGCATTCAGATGGTAGACTTTTCAGGATTAAAAAGAAATCATTTCTCTAATGCTATGAGTTGTTTCAGGATGTTCCTGAAACATCTTTCTTCTTTTACTAAATAAAGGTCAGGAAGGTGACATTTATTACTAGGAAACCCAAGACATTCAGGAACAAGAAGGCTCACATAGTTAAAATGCCAAAGAGATTATGAGAATCACATCAGATACTTGAGGTGTCTTTACCCAGTTTGAGGAGAATTGGAGCATCACTTGGGTTTTGTGGACAGAAAACACCTTTTCGTCTCTGTTCATCACCACTTGAAAGAATATACAGTTGTCTCATTCTTTCAGAAACACACTTGAACTGTTTTACCTTCTTTAGCCTATTTCTTTTGAAAGACAATGTATTTGGACTTGTAATTTAGATTATGAAACCATTTATAGTGTTGGTCTATGTTTTTAAATGTTAGATTATTTTTTAAATTAAGAATTTATTTGTTATTTGGTCGGGAAAAAATAAATAACAGAATAATTATCAAGTCTTATACTTCATTAGCAGTGGTTTCTCTGTAATTTCTCACCTTCCTCTTTGATCTGCTACTTTATATTTATTTCTAAGACACAAATTTATTTGCCTCATACTTACAGTATGCTGCTGGATTCCTTTGAAAATTAGTGGTACAGAGGGCTTTGATCTTACTTATTGGGGAACATTTTATAATTAAACCATTGGTTGAAATCTGAAGGTATTCCTACATGGTAAATAGAGTTTTTGAAAAATTTTTATATTTATTTGCTTCAATAGGGAAATGCAATTGCATAAATTACCTTCTAATCACTCCTGATGTTTGAG